CGAGGAAAACAGGATTATGGCAGAGTCTTCAACATTTACTGTACTCCCGTGTTTGAAACGAAACTTTCATATGTCATTTTATATAGTTATGTTTATTTAATATAATTTTAAAAAGAAGCATAAACACAACGAGGGGTGTCTGTTTAGTCTGTTTTTGTGACTAACGTTTCTTTAGTATATCCATGGAGTATAAAATTCAATATAAATTCTCGGTTTTGCATTGGACTCTATGATCGGCGGAAGTTATCGAGCATCCTTAAACCTTCACCGGAAATAACGCCGTGCATAGAGCCCATTTAAGCCCTGTGTCTAGTTCAGTCTTTGTGTGTTCTTGTAGTTGTTGGGGAGTGGTGATGGCGAGTGGATAAGACACATGCCTTTGTTGTGGGAGACCCGGGTTCGAATCCACTGCGAGACACCAATGTGTCCCTGAGCAAGACACTTAACCCCTAGTTGCTCCAGAGGCGTGCGACCTCTGACATATATAGCAATTGTAAGTCGCTTTGGATAAAAGCTTCAGCTAAATGAATAAATGTAAATGTAAATGTTATGTTTCCTATTACCTTGCCCCTGTTTTATTTAATTAAATTTGTGTTTTTTTATTTGGATCCTGCTTCCTCCTCCTCTGTTGCTTCATACTTTACATTGAGGTCTTATTTGGTAACACTGGTTAATTTATTACCTAAAATTAACTAGCATTACACATTTTCAGTACTTATTAATCTTTAATATTAGTTATAAAAATAGTTGCTTATTGTATGTTCATGATAGTTCACATTTGATAATATATTGCTAGATGTTGACATTAACATTAAGATTAATAGATGCTGGAAAAGTATTGTTCATTCTTAGTTAATGTTATCTAAAAAAAGTTAATTAGATTGTAGTGAAACCTTATTGCAAAGTGTTACTGATGTCTTTGTACTAAAAAGTGAAAAAAGGAAAACAAGCAAGCAAGAATAAATATTCTAGCACAATTAAAGAACAATGCAAGTAATCTAATCTTGTAAAACAAGATTAACTACACCAACCAAAGGTGAATTCTTTTAATGAAACGCCTACTGTTTGAATATTCAAAAGCATTGTCCACTGTATAAATACTGTAGATGTGCGAGTTAAACAAATACAATGAGCAATTTAAAGGTAAGCTTTTCTCTGTCACTCAAATATCCCATTTGTGTCACTGTGTCTTTTTTAAAAAAAACATTATTTGTTTGAATGCTTTTAGGTGTCTATTTCTTACAAGATCAATGTTTATTCTTTAAATTGAGGAAAATCTGTAACATAGGAATTATGGATTACATAAATAGTTATGACCTACCAAAATGCAAAGCTTTTATACTACAGTAACTACAAATTTAGCATGCAATAATTGTTTTGTTGTCCACACACAGAGAAAACGTCGGTCAAGCACCAAAAGCAGGAAACACAAAATTACAACAAACTCTGAGTTCACAAGTATGTTCAAGTTCACTTACCTCTAAGAAAAATATGGTTGCCTCGCATTATCAAAATCTATCAATTGTTTTACACTTAAACTTTGGTTAAATATTTTTGGCCCTTCTTTTAGCTTTCTGTATGTTTGTTTTTCAGTGACATCTTTCACCATTGCAGTGTCATCATGTGCATTATTCAGACATGAGACAGGGGATATCTAAAGGAGTTGCTTTTCCATTTGTCAAGGTAACAGACTTTCAGTGAAAATGTATTTTCCTCTATATTAACCTTATTTTGTCTTTGTTAATCAATAGTGCATTTACTTTTACTGGTAAACCCAATTCACTAATATTAATCATTTAGCGGAGTAGAAGTTTTGGTAACACTTTATAATAACAAGCCATTAATTCATCATTCATAAAGCATTAATAAGCAGTTAATAAACGGCTATACATGCTTTCTTCTTGATTTACAAGCATATCTATAATTTGTCTAATAATTGTATTTCTCCTTTATTTATGATCAATTTATCATTTCTAAATGAAGAATTGCATTTTTTATAAAACCGTTAGTGGTTCATAAATTACTTAGAATGTGCAAGTAAATGATTAATAAACTATTTAAATGTACATTCATACATCTTATTATTCAGACATATAGTAAAAAAAAAGTCACACTTAGCTTCCTCCCGGTCAAAAATGACCGAAATGAATGGGAAATACGAAAAAATAGGAAAACTCAGAGAAACTTTTGGTGGTACAAGCTACAGATCAGCAAATGTGCAGAAAAAAAGTGTACAGCAATGAAGGGGTGACACTCTAGAACATCAAGAGTGCAAATAAGACCACCCCCCACACACACACACACACACGCACACAAACACACACACACACACACATACACAGATAAACTGGCAAGACTGCACCAGCAAATTTGTAGAATATGAAAAATAAAATCAATAAATGAGGAAAAAAAATCTTGCTCAAATGCGCACTCACACACACACACGCATGCACGCACAGAGAGAGAGAGAGAGAGAGAGAGCGAGAGATTAACTGGTAAGACTGCAACAGCAATTTTTGCATATATTTGAGAATATGCAAAAATTAATAAATAAAAAATACAAAAGAGTGTCACTCAAATGCAACACACACACAGATAAACTGGCAAGACTACAACGCAAAACCTAATAATTATCTTAAAAATTTTGTAAAAAAAAAAAAAATAATTCGTCTTTTAGAATATCTAAATGTATATTTAAATAAAAAAAACGAATAAGATTGAGAAATCATGTCTAAACCAACAAAAAGAATCAAAAAGCCTTTCTATGTATTTATATAGGAAGCTACAGGCTGTGCAGGACATTGCACACATGTAACTATTTTTTATAGCCACTAGGTGGCGCTCTTCTACTTGAATTTTTTTTTTTTTTTATTAGCTGACACTCTATTTTGATGTGAAATGTTGTATTTATTGAAAAAAAAAAATATATATATATATAAAATAAAAATATGTATATTAATTCTAATGGAAAAAATAACTCATAAAAATTATATCATTAATGCAAAGTATCATAAAAAAAAATCTAAAAATTCTAAATAATAATCAGAAAATATTATAGAAAAAAAATATATTTGAATGGTTATCCTGGGAAGAAGTAAAGTTAAATTCTAAGGCTTCGTCCGTTTTTGACCGGGAGGAAGCTAAGTGTAACCCATTTACGAAGAAGCCCAGAGGGTTACATAACTGGTTTGTAAATAATGCTATTTAATTAGAAATTATTAATTGATTGTTAACAAAGTATGAAAATATTTAAACGCATTATAGTTACACTTATTAAAAAGCATTTATATCTGTATTTATAAACTGCTTATTAATGTCTATTAATGCTTTATAAATTATGAATTAACGGTTTACTCATGCTTAAATGATTAATAGCGTGCAGTTATTAAAGTGTTATTGAAGTTTTTTGTCTCCATGTGCATCTATTTTCACTGAAAATTCAGTACTTTAACTTGGTTATAACTAGCAAGAATCCCAAAAGATTAAGTAATTTGTTTAATTTGACATAGGTGTTAGTATTTAGTGTATTTTGATTATTCTGCTCTAGGCTCTTACAATGGTGAATCAACGTTTGACTAAGCGTGAAGAGCGGTGTGTAATAATGGTGATATCTACCGACAGTCAGGACATGGATAACCTGAACAAGAACATACAAAACTACAGTAAGTGTAGGGGAGTGTTTATGAAGGTAAAATAATGCCTTAAAAAATTACATGGAAAAGAACATAGTGAACATTCTGCAACACTTTTTGTTGTGGTCCGTGAAAAAAAAAAAAAAGACAATCAATGACATTGATTACATGATGAATGTTCTTTTTTATGAACTATCCCTTACTGCAGACCCTAAATCACCTAATTTCAGTATCAACATAAAATAAGATGTAATGTTATTTTGCTAAACTCAATGTTGTCTGTGCAGATCTGGACTGTAAGATTACTGATGAAAATCTTAGTGAGATCAAGCCTGTTCTCTACCTGTCCACAAACCCACACGATGTGAAAAAGGCCATCACTGAAGGTGATGCATCAAGTTCTTTCATTTATTTTTTCTTCATTTATGTCAGAGCAGTTTCAAATATATACAGGTTTGCATCCATTACTCACAGCAACATATATTACCAATATCGCTAATATTAAAGAATTTACAAACAATATTTTAACTTTAGTAAATTTTTTGCAAGTACTTGTAACCAGTGATGGAGAACGTTACTTTTGAAAGTAATGCATTACAATATTGCATTACTCCCTAAAAAAGTAACTGTGTTGTTACTTAGATACCTTTTATGGAATGTAATGCATTAAATTACTTTTTCGTTCCTTTTTCTCTACTGGGCTTGCTTGTTTGTTTTTTTAATAACAAAAACAAAAGTTCCATTTTTGGCAAATGTATACACCCTTTCTCACCAAATGTGAAATAAATAAATAAAAAGAAAATGCAAATTCAACAAAGTGCATTAGCTCAAAACTCTCAGTGATGCCATTCTGGATAGCAGAAGAATGAGCCGCTTGAGAAGGTTAATAAAATTTGATTAAATACATGTATTTATATTTATATAGAGAATATTTGTGTTATTTAAAATATTTACACATTTAAAATTTCTGCGTTTGCATTTCACAGTTTTTCTTTATTTTGAGGAATACTAAATCTGATTTGAGATGAGTATATGCCAGCTCACATTTAGTCTAAAACTACTAAACCCATCATCCATCATGATCACACACAACGCCTCTGCACTTACTCATGATCTCTCTCAACATGGGGACAGGAAAGGGGTCAAGTCAATAAATGGGAAAGCAAAGTAACTTGTGTAATCTGATTACATAGCTTGTGTTACCCAACACTCCTTGTAAATGGTCTAAGACTTTTTCTGCATCTTCAAAGCAGAGTTCGGGGGGAAATCGGTGGAATGAGGCAAAAGAGAGCATTACATAGATCCAGTGCTGCAGTGAGAAAGTGGGCATTTGATGCATGAAGGTACTTATAGTATAACTCTTTTAAATGGTGATGGCATTGTTTTTCAGGATTTGGAGCAGCCACCATGTTCCAGAGAGATTACCAAGAGCACAGTGATGATGTGTTACATGTGGCCTTTGATGGAGATGGAGTCCTGTTTTCAGATGAGTCAGAGAGTGTCTACAAAAACAAAGGGCTACAAAGTTTCTTTGATAATGAAAGAGATAACGAGGACAAAGCTTTGGAACTGGTAAGAATGTTGGTCTGAAACCAACATGTTAGTACAGCTGAATCTCGGATGACTTAATATTTTACAAATGTTAATATTTTACATTTAAAATGAACACATCACAAAGCCTTGTTATTTAAAGTAATATTTAAAGGAACTTTCTAGCCTACTGAAAGTTTAACATTTAAAGCACTTCTATTGCACAGAATGTGAGTTGAGGGTTGCAATTGTATGTGGAAACAAAAAGCATGCCACAGATCCTATATACTATAGATATTAGGTTGAAACATTTAGTTCAACATTCAGCACACTACAATTTACTGTAATAGTTGAATAACTCTAAAAAAACAGCAATAATATATTTGTGTGCAATTATTTTGCAGGGCCCACTAAAAGAGTTTTTTAAAGCATTGGTACATCTCCAGCAGAAGTTCAAACCGGAAAATTGTCCAATTCGTACCTACTTGGTAACATCACGTGGCACGGCAAGTCCTGGATTAAGAGTCCTGAAGACTCTTAAGGAGGAAAAGCTGGAGATAAATGAGGCATTCTTTCTGTCTGGTCCCCATAAAGGGCCTGTGCTGAGAGCAATCAATCCCCACATTTTCTTTGATGACCAGACACCACACATTGAGGAAGCTCTTCAAAATGGTGTTATTGGTGCTCATGTACCTTATGGTGTGAGTAATGAGTGAGACTAAATCCGAATTTGATTAGTAAAGGCCTGACATGCACTGCCCTGCCGGTGGTGCAGCACAATACTTTCTCTTATTATGTGATTTACAAAGTCAAAACAGCTAAATTTAGTGATTATTTGTGATTTTGTTTACGGTTTATTAGAGTGTAAATTAAATTAATGGTGAAATTAATCAATAAATCGTTATCTAAATGACTTATAATAAATTTGTATAAAGCCGCTTCAAACAAAACATTTTGTCTCAAGTGTGTCTAGGATAAGTGATTTCATAAAGATTCATATGTGTTAAGACTATAGGTCTCTGCTCCTAAATTACTAAAGAGTGCTGAAGATTTTTAGAGAGTTTAGAGCTTTACTACATACTTAGAGATTACTACATCTTACTATTTAAATATGAATAGATACAGGTATAAATTATTTATATATATATATATATATATATATATATATATATATATATATATATATAATGGTTGCTTTTACATGGTGAAACTATAACACTTCCCTGATGGTAGTAGTTGATACATTGGAAATAAAACATGACTTGAATCACTCACTATTGTCTGTGTTTATTCTTAAGAACCAACCACTCATAAATTAATTGAAGTGATGTAATATTCTCATACACCCGTGACTGTTATACTTTGAACAAGATGTGCAAGCTGTGATTCTGATTGGACCGAAAGATTCCCATACCAAGCTCCCATAATTTATACCTAACACTGCTTGATAAAATTATTGCAGAATCCAGGTTTACTCCAAACAACAAACATCTCCTTAAAAAATACAATTGCTGCTGGAATTTTGAACAGAGATAATCAATGTGGGCTTTCCAAATAAACGAACAATCAATGACCACTTCTAATTCGTGACCGATGTTTTGTTTGGCTCTATCCTCTGTGCTTCCGCATTCGTCAATACGGTGATCGTCAATGTATCTCATTTTTATCTGCATGTCTTTTTTTTTTTAGCAAATCCCTTGTGATAACACATCAGAGCCAGACAAATGCTACCAATAAAACCTACCACTAGGATAGATGTGTAGATGCCCTCAAATACAATGACGTGGAAAAAATACTTAAAAATAATTCCACACTATTTAGAAAAATTCACTCCATAATAATACCACCAGACAAATCCAGATAACACCTGCCTGTGTTGAAGGCGAGACTGAGGCTAGATGTCAATTAAATATGCTTACTATTTTATTAGTGGTTTTGTATGTAGGCCTCAAACATTACTTGAACACCATTATGATCATCCAAACTGAAACTAAACTAAAAAAATAGCATTTTAACGAACACAATAAAACCAGACTATAGTCTGGGTTATCACAATACTAGAATTTCTAACTTTGTTACGATACCTTGAAAAATATCAATATTTAATACCATCTTTGATACCACAGAGAAAAAAACTGCCACAATATTAAGGGGGTATTTTTTTTAATTTATTTTATTTTTAAAGCTAATTATAACAAGTCTAGAACAGAATTTGTTAACATTTTTAACTGGACCAGAGCTAACATGATGTATTTTTATTACCTACTGTTATTAAATATTAAAATATGCTGTAACAAAAAAAAAAAAAAAAAAAACACTTTTGAAAATTCTTTCATCATTTACTCACCCTCATGTTGTTCCAAACCTCTATGTGTTTATTTGTTCTGCTGTACACAAAGGAAGATATTTGGAAGAATGTTTTAAGCAAATAGATCTCAATCCCCATTGACTACCATAGTAGGAAAAAATACATACTAGTCAATGGGGATTGAGATCTGTTTGATTAAAACATTCTTCCAAATATCTTCCTTTTGTGTAGAACAGAACAAATAAACACATAGAGGTTTGGAACAACATGAGGGTGAGTAAACCATGATAGAATTTTCATTTTGGGGTGAACTATCCCTTTAACAGCATCAAATTGGAGGATAGAGTGTCAGTAATGTATAATAATAAGATTAAACATTACATTTTCAGAGATGCCATTGTCTAGCTGTTTAGTTTAATTAATATCTGTGTAATCAATTTGATGATAATCGCTAATGACGGTAAATTGCAGAATTAAATAATATTTTTGAATAAAGTTAAATAGGCACAAGTTAATTTACATTTGACCACAGTTACAATATTTACATGTCTATTCCTCAGTCAGATTGTTAACTTTAAGAATTACAGTCAAAAAACGAGACAACACAGACTCATTTCAAAGATACTAGGCCATCTTGGTTAATGTTTCAGAAAAGTTAAAATGTGTGTCCATTAGGATTATTTAGCAGTGGGGACAGGTCTGTCCAAACAACAAACACCCCTGTGATGCTGAGAATATGTGCTGCTATATGGTACCCTAAAAATGGTAAAAATAAATAAATAAATAAATCATTTTGATGTTAGGGATTATTGATAGTCAAACAATCTTTTGGATGCCCACAGCCGTGAAGCGTGTGTCCACACTATTCTCCGACATGCTCATTCGCGTTGTGTAGCATGTATACACGCTATTCTCCGACTCCGACGTGCCCGCTCGGGGTGTGGTTTTTACACATTTCCGCGCTATTCTCCGACATGCCCGCTCGTGGTGTTCTTTATCAATCAACCAAAGCTGGTCGCGGTGGCGCCGCCCTCGCCATCTTTCCATTCACTTCACTTTTGCTATTTAACCATAGACAGTAAAAGATTTAACCAGAGCAAATGAGACGACTGTGTCACATGGTGTTTGTCAACGCGCCTTTGGCGAGAAGTGAATTTGACCGCTCGGCTAGTATCAATACGGGAAATTAGCTATTGGTACCGTTCAGATGTATAAGTATCGATATTTATCGAAATATCGATATTTTGGACAACACTACTAATGCAGGTATCTTTATCCTATGAATGTAACTTAAGCTTTGTTCTCAAGAAAAGAATATTTTTTCCAAGACACACGTCTGCAAATAAGATGTAAAAAAATGTAGACTATTGTTCACCACAATAATACATGCTACATTATCTCTACACAATTAGCTCCAGATAAATGAGCATCTAATCTATAGCTCATTATATAAAGGATATTTGGTATGTGCCAGTATAACAAATTATTATGTAGTGCCTTTATGAAGACGATTGTTATTTTTAGTATTTATTATTCATTTTGTTTTATGATTGAAATTGACTGAAAAAAAACTAAATGTAAATCATTATGCGAGACACTTGCTGGTGACGTCACTGCGTCGTGCGCTGATGCTGAGCGAGAGGTATTCAGAGAAGGGACGCAGGGCACTACAAGTCGAGTATCTGTCCCTGCCAAAACAACAATGAGCAAACATGAAGACACTGAGAGAGGAGGACAGTCCAACTCCGGCAACAGCGAAGAAAAAGACTGGGCAGCTCTCAAAACATTATCTGACAACTCGAAAACAGCGAAGAAGCTCCGTCCGGTAAGCGATTGTTAGTGTAAACAAGCTGCGAATGACAGCAGCGTCTCTCCCATCCGATACCCAATCTAGAGTGATAGCGAAAAACTAGACAACATGTATAATCGAAGAAATCTGTCTAACGTTACACTGAAAGTTCTATTGCTGTAGATGGTGCGTCATCACTCCACTGACAGTGGCGCAGTCACATATCTGGCCGAATAGAGCAGGTTTTTGGTCGTCCACAGCTGTTGTAAACATTTGTCTGCTTTTGATTTTCAGCCCAAACCCGGCAACGCAGTGACCATTGCGGTGTCCTCGCGCACGCTTTTTAACATGGTGAAGGAGAGGAAGGTGTTTGAAGAGGAGGGGCTGGAGAGGTACGTCGCGCACCAGCTTGAGCTGGAGGATCAGCTTTTTACCCCAGGGGTCTCGTTTCCTTTCGTTAAGGTAACAACAGAAAACAATGCATGCTGATCATAATACTAGATTTCAAAACTGTCTAATCATAACACTCACTTTATCTTCGCCAGCACCTGTCATCTAAATCGAATTGAATTATCTTTTTATCTCATATTTTTCGTCAAAAACAAACCACTAAAATAATTAAAGAGGACTGTGCCTTAAAGGACTTTACTAAACAACTCAAAGAGCTTCACATAATGTCCTTCTTTCAACATTAAATGTTTTAAACATCATTAAAGTAGACAGAGTTAATGACAGAGTAGACAGAGAAAAGAGTTAAAATAAGTGAGAAACCCGAATAAACGGGAGGGTTGACAGCTATGTTTGTCTGGTCTTGAAAAAAAAATCCCGAGTCCTCAATGTCCGAGACCGAAACCGAAAACGGTGGAGTCCGAGACGATACAGAGACTATCAAAAAGTGGTCTCGAGACCAAGACCGGTCTCGAGTACTACAACACTAGATCCTCGTACACACCTGACGCTGGTCAGTTAAGCTGGTTGAAACACTACATTTACATTTTTACATTTATTCATTTAGCTGACGCTTTTATCCAAAGCAACTTACAATTCCTATATATGTCAGAGGTCACATGCCTCTGGAGCAACTAGGGATTAAGTGTCTTGCTCAGGGACACATTGGTGTCTCACAGTGGATTCGAACCCAGGTCTCTCACACCAAGGGCATGTGTCTTATTCACTGCGCCATCACCACCCCCCACCCCCACTATTATGACACGACTATATCTCCAGGACTATATCTGGGGTGGTGATGGTGCAGTGGATAAGACACAAGCCTTTGGTGTGAGAGACCCAGGTTCAAATCCACTGCGAGACACCAATGTGTCTCTGAGCAAGACACTTAACCCCTAGTTGCTCCAGAGGCATGAGACCTCTGACATAGCAATTGTAAGTCGCTTTGGATAAAAGCGTCAGCTAAATGAATAAATGTAAATATATCTCCTTGATAAATTAAAATAGCACTGATACAAATCATATGGAAAATATGTAAAGCAGCATGCTGGAAAACAAATGTGTGCTATCACTTTTGTTCATGGAGGGACTTTAGACCTTTTTATTGCAGGGCAGGACTGAAACACAGAGCATTACTGTGCCTTTACCAGGAACCCTATGTAATTGATTATTTCCTTTACGGTTTTAGATCACATATTATTGCAATAAACAACTATAGACCTTGTTCGATCTGCGTCATCAGTGTTTGCGGCGGCATTTTTGTTGACATAGAAACCACGGAAACTGTCAGTCTGTCAATGGACAAGCGAGGTAGTGTCGGGATTATCCATGATATTATCACTGTTTTTTTTTTTTTTTTAAACAGCGTGATGGTGTTGTGTAATACACGGCTATTCTAACAACAGCAATAAGAACATCAGAGTTAGTTTTTATGCGATAAGATAAGGACTGTCAGAAAACGTGAAGGGAAGGAGACAGGGTTGAGACAGTGCAGGAGAGGCTAACGTTAGCTAGGATAAATAGGCTAAACTTTCAGCCAACTCCCCACAGAAAAGTCTGTCCCAACCATTTTCCCACAGGTTTCACATATAATCCGTGTGCGGTGTGTATACGGCACAGAAGCAGGACGCAAGTGCTTTAAATATGCTGCGTTTGTATAATATGCAAACTTTGCAGTGCATAACTGATCCGTGGCTGTACCACAAACACCCCGGTACTCACTATTTTTATTTTAACACATACTCATTATTTCAACAATGTAAGCCAATTATTACATGCATTACTTCTATATATTAAGTTGCTCAAGCAAGTGGTCAAATATGTAACCATGTACTTATATTAAATCACAAACATTTTAAATGAAAAATTAAAATTGACAAAAACAACCAACTCTCATGCCTTTTCTTTTGCACTTACATTTTAATACAACAAATTTTGCATGTCACAAAGCACTTGTTTTTCCACCTCCACGAATGAGACAAGTGTCGTTTATGTTGCCTTGTTGAGGTAAATTGTAGTTTGTAGGTTATACGGATACTGTATGATCGAGATCGTTATAAATATCCGGATAGGTTACGGCTGGCAATAAGGACGGATCTTAACTTAATGCTATTATTTAATTTTGATGTGGGTCCACACACCAATCAAGCTTATCTTCTCTTGATACCGACGAGATGAAGCTCCCCCTCAACTCAAATCTGCGCGCTGCTAAGGGCAGCAGGACAGATGTCATGTCAACAATATGGCCGCGCTTAGCTACTTCCGGTATTTGCGAATAAGGTCTATAAATAAATCACAGTAGTGTTGACTACCGTGGATAATTTTAGGTATCCAAACCCACACCTTTAATAGTTACTTACTATGTGTTTTTCTAATCAACAGGCACTAATGAACGTAAATGCTCGTTTGAGGGAACTATACCCAGACAGTGAGGAGCTGTTTGATATTGTGCTGATGACTAATAACCACGCCCAGGTCGGAGTTCGTCTCATCAACAGCATCAATCACTACGGTATGGAAAGAAAACAGAGACTCGGGAGGAGAACTCAGAAGTCATACAGGATTGTCTAAAGCTAGTTTTCAACCAAACAACATATATTAGCCTACAATTTAGCCTTTGATAGCGATCAACATCATTTACTTTAAAATATTATTCTACATACACAGACCTAGATCAACAGGAAATATGTCAGCGCAGGCAGACAGAACAGGATTTGGCTAAAGACCTGTCTGGAAAAACTGTCCGTTTTTTTTTTTTCTTTTAAGGTTTACAGCACACCTGACAGGAAAAAGCATATTTACTGCTTTAAAAAAAAAAGCATTAAAGGAATATTCACTGTATGCTATACAAACAACAAATACATGAATTATCTTCTCTCTACAGATCTAAATATAGAGAGATTTTGCATGACGGGTGGAGAGAGTCCAATTGGTTACCTAAAGGCCTACATGACCAACCTCTACCTGTCCAAAGATTCAAAGAAGGTAAAGGAAGCAATCGAAGAAGGTAAATATATATATATATATTTTTTTTTAATGAATGCATTGTGATATTACTGGCATTTTAATTTCAATACAGAAAAAACAATCTTGCTATAGATGAGCTGAACATGATTCTAAATTTGTTTTAAATGGCCATTTCTACAGGAATTGCCGCTGCCACAATGTTCACCTGTGACAGTGAGAGCGAGCTCAGTGACACGCAGCTACGCGTAGCCTTCGACGGGGATGCTGTTTTGTTTTCTGACGAGTCTGAGATTATCGTGAAGGAACACGGATTGGACACCTTTTTTAAGCATGAGAAAGAGTTTGAGAACAAGCCTCTTGCTCAGGTAAACTAAGACTGGTTGACTACTAATGTACATTATTAATTCTGATTCTAACATTTTCCCTTGTCATGTTTGGTGCTTTTCATCCTTGATTTGTCTCCTAGGGCCCCCTAAAATGTTTCCTGGAAGCATTGGGGAAACTTCAGCGCAAGTTCTATGCAAAAGACCAAAGAATCAACTGCCCAATTCGCACTTACTTGGTCACAGCTCGAAGTGCTGCCAGCGCTGGGGCCCGCGTCCTGAAGACCCTACGGAGCTGGGGGTTGGAGGTGGATGAGGCCCTTTTTTTGGCTGGGGCTCCTAAGGGGCCTCTTCTTCATAAGATCAGGCCACACATCTTCTTTGATGATCAGATGTTTCACATCGAGGGTGCCCAGGAGCTCGGGACGATTGCTGCTCATGTGCCCTATGGAATTGGACAGAAATATCATAAGGGGAAACGAATAGACACAAGTGGTGCAGAGGAAAAAAATTAAATTAGTTGATGATCATCAAAAGTCCCATCTCTTTACGTCCCTCATGTTAATTTTATTTATTCATTTTTGGTTGCTTCTGGGAATATTTTGAACTTTGATTTGTACAGATGGTTTAAGTTAAATGGATTGCTGTAAATATAAATACAAAGAAGCTACTGTGCTTAAAATGACCTACATATTATGTGTACTGTACTAATCTGACAGCACTGTAAGGTTAAACTTCAAACTTCAGCCTTTTCTTTTTTTAAGAGAATAATGTGCAAGTAGAAGTATTTACCAGCCATTAACCCTTGATCGTTCCAATTTTATATTATGTTTAATCAAGAGTTTACTATAGAATATTTATATACCTCAGGGAACACACATTTCAACTGTATTTGATTTATAGTGTGAGATTTTATTATCCAATGTAAATTTAAGGTTTATCTACATTATTTTAGATGTTGTATTTCAAACCTGAACTCCATCCTCAGGCAGTTTCCCTCACTATCAGGGTGTGGCCTGCCACCAGTGTTGACAGACCTTGCTGACAGACCTTGCAAAAATAATACACAAACTGTGCCAAATACACAAACTGCCCTGAGTAAATGATGAAATGAGGGCATGCATGTGGAGAAACAGTTGATATATTGTATTTAGAATATATTACCCCTTTTGTTTACCATAAAGTGTAAATGTCTCAAGTATATTTAATTTTCCACAAAAAAAAAAAACATTGTTGATCACTGTTATAAATGCTGGATTTGTTTATTGTGATGATAAATTAAATGAGTGATCTTATTTTTTGTTGTTTGTTTTTTTTTTGTCTAAATAAAGCGGTTCAGTTTGTGTTTCTAAAACATGGATTTGACTAGAAACATGGGTTTCTAGGCCTAGCTGGATAAATAAAGGCTAGAACTACCCATACAAATTTGAGTTAACATACTTTACCAATTAGACAAACGTTTTAATAAGTTATCCACAGGTGATCATTCTCTCTTTGAATATAATATAACTTTAATACAGGCTATTACCTTCAGGTCTATTAATGTTAATGAAAATAAAAAGTAGTTAGTAGTAGGTGGAATCATATATATATATATATATATATATATATATATATATATATATATATATGAATTATGGGGGAATTTCAAAGATTTTTTTTTTATGTAGCCTAATTTGCCAGAATATATGTAATTGAATAAAAGGAATAATAATATTTACTTAGAATCTTACACTGTAAGCCCTGTCCATATGTGTAGGGATGTATGTGCTTTGTATTTTTACTGCTTTGTAAATAAAATAATTAACTAAAAAAGCAATACACAGGCATTGCGTTTGAACCCGCTACGACTTCTGGGTAATGTAGTTCAATAACATTCCGGTTACTTCCCACATGCGTGATTGTTTACGCCTACAAACCTGTTCATGAATTGGACGTTGTTGATGGCCCCAGAAGGATCAGCAGTGAAGCAGATATTACCCATAATTAACATTTTGATGAAGTCATCGATATGCTGCGAGGCAAAACTATTATCGTGACCGGGGCAAACAGTGGCATTGGAAAAGCCACGGCTGTGGAGCTGCTGCGGCGTCAGGGCCGGGTGATCATGGCATGTAGAAGCCGAGAACGAGCGGAGAAAGCAGCCCAGGAGATTAAGCAGGAGGCCGGACCAGAGCAAGGGGAACTAGTGGTAAAACTCTTGGACCTGGCATCGCTTAAATCGGTCCGTATTTTTAGCGAAGAGATAATCAAGGTAATGTACCAAACCAAGCAGTGTTTGTTAATCTTGTGTAGTAAATATACAAATATAAGTCACGCATAACATATTAGGACTGAATTGTTTTCGACAAGAAATAGGTGCACAATAAATACATACAAAGGGAGTGCACGCGTCAGCGTCATGCGGTTTTATGTGAAGTGAACTGCATGTTGCATGCTCGAGAAGTTTGGGAAGTGCACGTGACTGTGCGACGTGCGCGCGCAAGCTTGGGGAAAAAATGCCTTTGCAACTTTGTCTATCAACGTAATTATACAGTTAAGACCGTGCATAGTGAATAATTTCTTAATAAGGTGTTTATTTTTAAAAGTCAATTTACTAAAGATTGTAAATAATACATTTATAATTAAAAGCAGTCCATCACTTTTTGTATGTGTTCAAAATGTACAAAATGTTTAAGCTAGCACATCATAAATCCATTTTCAAAACCATGTTTTTGTCTGAATCACTACAGTAATCCTACAATTAGTATATTCTGACTATTTTAGACTGGTATGGGTCGTACCACTGTGGAGTAGCCCAGTACCTGCATGACTCGTCATCAATGGTGTTAACTTTGGTTTGAGAAGTGGGGGAATCCAAATTTCTGGATGTACATACATTTAGGGACTATAGTGATAGAAAAACCAGGAAATAAATTGATTAAAATAAAATCTGCCAAAAAGAATAGTAAGCTAAATGTATAAGAAAAATATGTATTACTTTCTCACTTTATAAAGTCAAAATGTTAGCCATTGATGTTTTGTGTGTAAATAAAAATGTTAAAAAAAACAAAACAAACAGGGGCACAGGCCCCCCTGCCCTGTCCCCATAAGAAATTACCCCATGCTCGCCATAGACATAAACAGAGTGAAGTAGCTCCGACTACAATGTTCTTCCGCAAGACACATGCATTTCTGTTAATTAACTTATATAGAGCACCAAAATTTACAGACTGCAGCTTCAAAATATTGTAATATTTATATAGTATATAATAATAGTTTTAAATAAGACAAAACTGACTCAAATCAGTTCAAGGTGGCTGAACTCCAGGAGTATGAAACTAATGAACAAAACCACTACTAGAGAAAACACATTTATGTAAATGGACTTGTTACAACTTCTTTTTTAACTAGCCCTGTCTACCCTATATATTTGTTATGGCATATTTATTGTTCTTCCTCTGAGAAATGGCCCATTTCTGATTATGTTCATTATAAATATTTAATTGTGTATTTCTCTTTTATCTATGGTTCATTTGTTTTAAAATATTGCGCATAAAGAAGAATAGGCAAAAAAAAGGAGAGAAGAGTATTTCAATTAGAGTAGAATAAAGTTTTAGCAATTGTTAGAGTTGTGATTATTTTGTCTTGTCACGTCTTGTATTCTAAAATACTGCATACATTAACAATTTGGCATATCTGTTGTTGTATCTAATACAGGAAGAGTCAAGAATTGACATCCTGATTAACAATGCTGGAATCTACCAGTGTCCTTACACCAAATCAGAAGATGGGTTCGAGATGCAGTTTGCTGTCAATCATCTAGGTCACTTCCTGCTCACAAACCTCCTGTTGGACCTCCTGAAACATTCCGCTCCTAGTCGCATCATTGTGGTGTCCTCCAAACTTTACAAGTATGGCGAAATAAACTTTGATGACCTGAACAGCTCGCAGAGCTACGATAAAGCTTTCGCTTATGCACGGAGTAAACTAGCCAACCTTCTCTTCACATTGGAGCTCTCGCACAGACTTGAGGACACAGGAGTGACCGTAAACGCTCTCACCCCAGGGATCGTGAGGACTAACCTGGGCCGACATGTCCACATCCCGCTGCTGGTGAAGCCTCTGTTTAACCTGGCTTCACGGGCCTTCTTCAAGTCCCCCGAGGAGGGTGCGCAGACTTCTATCTATCTGGCCTGCTCTGAAGATGTGGACGGCATTCAAGGGAAGTGCTTTGCTAACTGTCTTGAGGAACAGCTGTTAGCTAAGGCCACAGATGAGGAGGTGGCCAAGAAACTGTGGGACATTAGTGAAGTAATGGTGGGCATCACAACCTGAATCTTACAAACTTAAGAATTGAATTCATGTACATGATTATTTCAGATCTGGCAGTAAATAAAACACAGTTTTTTTCCATCAAGTATTTTGGAAAGACTTTGTCTCGAAAATAAAACGTGCAAAATTTACTCATGCTAATATCCACAGGAGGGAGCTGTTTTAGCCATTCATATTTACTTTTGCATTTGAAATAATAACCATACAGTTGCTGTGTGTGTGTGTGTGTGTGTGTGTGTGTTTTAAATTAACTATTTATATTTTAACTTAAACTCATCTTTAGATATCCTGTTCCACATTTCAGTTCTTATGTTTTCCTGAGATAGTAATTAATCCTGGGAGACAAAGATTTCAAACGTACACAACACATGATCACATGTTGGTTAAGACTAGATACAGGCGTCTTTGAGTTTGCATGCACAGTATTGAATATTTCTGCCCAAATCCTGCTCTATTGTTTCATCTTTCTGCTGTTAGAAGTGAAATAATTAACAGTAACACTGCATTTGATTTTCACATCTCTTATGGAAGATCAGTGGAAAGGCATTCTCGGTTACAGTACTTAATAAAGAAGCATTAAACAAAGCAAAAGTATATTAGTATCTCTATTCTGAATATGCACTTTATTGTTTAAACAACATAATAAATGAATGTATTGTTTTTGTGGCACAATGATGATGATGATCAGTATCACCTCACGAAGAAAAAGCTTATAAGTTTAGGCCTATTTTTTTTTATTGATGTGTGCAGAGTTTCGCCATGAAACGGAAGTTGTGTTTGTCTTTTCTTCCCTATTGAGATGTATACGAGTGAAGTGGAACAAGAAACGAAAAAAAAAGAAAAGGGTGGGACTTTGTCCCCAGGAATTCATTGATTGGATGATAGAAATTTGAGTGTTGCTAACTAAATGGACACGGAAATGAATCACAGGTTGCAGTCAGACTTAGTTGTGAAGAATATTAATTCCCATCCTTCTCTGAGACATACATCATGAAGAGAACAGATGTCGTGTCGAGGGGGGGGGGGGGGTTAACATTTTTTTTATTAAAGATTCCGAGGGCATTTGAATTTATATATATATATATGATTTGCACGGATAGTTTATAATAAACACTGTAATTCTGTTAAAAAAAGAAGAATTGTCCATGGTGACCTTAAGTCTTTTACCCTCTGTAAAAAAAAAAAAAAAAGAAGAAGAAGAAGAATTGTCCACGGTGACCTTAAGTCTTTTACCGTCTGAGAAAACAAAATATCTATAATTTATATATATTTTTAATAGGGAATGTATATATATGTATATGAAGAGTTCAGATGTAAAAGCCTCTAAATGCCATTTGAAATTTTCTTCTTTAATGATGATTTTTGTCAAGCTTGTATATTTAAGTTCAGTGATTTCACTTAAATGGCAATGATAATTACCTATTAATTGTTATTTAAGTGAAATTACTGAACTTAAATATACAAGTTCGACAAAAATCATCATTAAAGAAGAAAATTTCAAATGGCATTTAGAGGCTTTTGCATCTGAACTCTTATATCATATATATATATATATATTTATTTATTATTAAGTGAATGAATGTATTTTGACCGTATTTCTGATCTACTGTATGTGTGGTACTGCCAATTATGAACTGTTTTCCAGTTAAATATTCTTAATTGTGTGTGTTTATCATGGTAATTTTGCAGTACTTTTTTATCTTTTAAAAAGGAAATGCTTTTGGGAGCCTTCTTGGTCTAATAAATAAATATTGCACTGTACAAATGATATAGTTCAGATTTTAACCACAGCTCAATCGGCTTTATATAATTGAAAAGTAGTCTGATGGTTGTTTTTGCGAGGCTCATTAGCAGAACAATTTTGGAATTAGAGCAATAGCCCGCTTTGCTTTCAGAGTTCACTTACTGTCTAATTAACCGTTCTAGGAGTTATTACAGTACAATTCAACAAAGAAAGTACACACTCCTCTCACCCTGCATCTCTTTCCCTCTTCATCATGATTGCCTTGAATGTTTTCTTTTAGCGTTAGCTGTCTCTGTGAGAATGGTAGCAGCCCTGATGGGCTCGTAATGCTTTTCCCACCTGTGTTTGCTATTAGGGCTTTTTCAGGATCATTTAGAATATGTTCCGATCAGCCAGAAAGCCCCTAAGATATCCCAGCATTCATCTGATAGCTCCCTGTGAAACAGGAGGTCTGGGAGTGCTTGGCCATAGAACCTGGAGACTGTTTGTATTTGAAATAAAGAAAATTGGGGAAATTACGAAAGTTAATGGCTTTAATGATGCGTTTCGAAACGGTGCCACATCAGCGACAGAATGCCAAGCTGGTAAACAAAGTGATGCTTTGATTACAATCACATTAAGTTGTTTCACCTCAATATTTTTTTCTATTTTGTCCTGTTTTTCCTCCTCCAGATGACAAAATATCACTCAACAAGCACCCAAAGGTATATAGAGATTTGTGGCAAAGCCCTTGTATCTTATCTCGTGGTTTGGCTTTAGCTTAAGCATTTCTCCGGGTGTGCTGCTTTGCTCACCTCAGCTCTGCTCGGAGTACAGACCTGCAGCCAGCATCCTTTCCCACCGTTTGTGCTAGAAATCCCATCCAACTTAAACACAGAACTCCACTCTCGTTTATTATTCTGCGTGTTTGTTTTCTGTGATAGGGGGAAAGAAGGGAGATACGAACGCACGTTATTTTTCACAGTAAAGAGAGTTTCCAGCCTTGTGATTGTTGAGCAATGGAAAGCCTTGCCAGGTTGATGGCACCAGAATGTCTAAAACATTCAAAACAATTTGGTTACTCAACTTTACAATTTTTCACAAAGCACTACTGCATTAAAAACAGACCTTAATTTATAATATAAAGAATACTATCCATTTGGATGAGTTAGTTAACTGGCTTGTCTGTTTTATAAAAAGGTAGTGTTAAAAAAAAGACTTAAGTAAGAACGCACATTAAAACATTAAACGGTTAATTTTGCTATCTCTATATGAACTTTTTCGAAGTGTCGGAAAAAAACACAATTTTGTCAGTTGCTGTCTATGGAGGGACAGAAAAGCTCTGTATCATCTGAAGATGAAAAAATAAGTTTTTAAAATGAGTTAAAGTAGCTACAGTTAGAGGTATTTTTTTTTTTTAAAAGTACTAGTATTAAAAATAGTAAACTATGTACAACTTGTAATACTGATGCATTACAAATGAGAAACCTAGTTGTGTACTTAAAGTGTAGGCCTACTACTATACATATAGTACACTTAAACATATACTTTTATATAGGCCTACTAAAAGTGGTCCCAAGCAGTAATGAAATAGTAACACATTGATATTAGTATACTTACAAAAAGTATTTATGGTAACACTTTACAATAAGGTTCGTTAGCTAACATTAGTTAACTACATTAGTTAATATGAACTAATAATGAATAGCACATATACAGCATTTGTTAATCTTTGTTAATGTTATTTTCAACATTTACTAATACTTGATTAAAATCTTGTTAACATTAGTTAATGCACCGTGAACGAACATGAACAAACAATGAACAGCTGTGTTTTCATGAACTAACATTAACAAAGATGAACAAATGCAGTAACAAATGCATTGCTCATGATTAGTGCATGTTAGTAAATACATTAACTAATAATGAACCTTATTGTAAAGTGTTACCGTATTTATATACTTGAAAATTACTTAATAATGAACTTGAAGTATACTTCTTTTTCGTAAGGGAGAGACCCCTACCTCAGATCAAACCTGCAACCTTTGTGTTTTCAGCCCAGCCTGAACCGTTCCTCCAACCGACTGCACATGAGCTTTCAAAGTTTGAGAGAAAACACTTTCAATGGAACAAATACAGATCTGCTGGCACAGAAGCTAAGTGAGCAGTGAATGAAAACATCTTTTTAAACTATTTATTATTCTTTATTTTACCAGGTAATTTGATTGATTGCTTGGTCTTCTGGAGCAGTGACCTGGCCATGGGTTCTGTGTGTACAGACGTATGGCAAAGTCTTTCCCCTGAGGTGGAGCCCTGTGTTTTGACACACTCTTCAAAACAAAAAGAGTTTTTCTCTGGGTTTGGAGAAATATTTTGGTATGTAGCAGGATAAGGAAAACATTTCAGCATTATTCGATCACATTATTCACACATGGAAATGATTCCTGAGGTGTAAATCTTTTCATGGGAAATGTGCAGATTTCCTGAAGCCAAACTTAAACTGATAACTCAAGACATTTCACAGATTGTACTTGAAGTGCATTTTGGATGGTTTCCTGGGGTCTGGGTGTGGATTTATATGCTGACCAGACTGGTAAATCCAAAGATTCTTGACTAAAAGAACACTGTAACATTCAAAACCTCCCTTAGGGGGGGCAGCTGAAATTAAACAACATTATTTAAAATGCAGCTCCTGAATATTGTCATCCATTTGACTTCAGCATATTGAGATGTCATTCACTATGCTAATATAAAAGGCATGTTTCTTGTCTTAACAGGTCACAGTGAAAATCAGGAACGAAAAATGTTTTTTCATGCATATGATAAAACCTGACTTTAGAATTGCCACATCAGATTAAATAAAATGTAAATCACCACAAATAGAGTGATGTGAGCAGGGCTGTATTAAGAGCTCACTGGGCCCCGGGGCTATGAGTTACTGCAGGGCCCCCCCACCACTTTAGGTCACCAACTACATGAGCTAAACGTTATATTATTATAGCCTACGAGTCATTTTATCCATCTATGATATACTTCACAGTTAAGTTATGTTACTTTTAACACGATTTTTTTATCATATCAAAATGTATTGACTAAAATTTCATAATTATTGTGACCAATTTCAATATCACCAAAAAATAATAGTAGCTTAAGAAAATAATCTCAAGCTTACTGATGACAAGAGTCACAAATTAAAATAGAACAAAGGCACAATAAATCGACCTATGAAAAACTTAAAGCACTGAATAATATTATATAAAGTAATCAAATATACAATACATGGAGTAAATGCAGTAAATTACTTTCTTTCTGATGTTTGATTAACATTATTGACACACATGGCGACAGCAGCTTTATTAGCAGCGTCTGTCACTTTGAGACCTCAGAGTCGGATTCAAGTGCGCTGTGCAAAACCGTCTCAAGTTCACCACAGTCTACACTCTAAAAAATGCTGGGTTGTTTTAACCCAATTTTGGCTCAAATATGGACAAACCCAAAATGCTGGGTAAAAAAATGTAATGTAAAAATTTAACCCAACGGCTGGGTTAGTCCATATTTGACCCAAAGTTGGGTTAAAACAACCCAGCATTTTTTAGAGTGTATGGTTCACCTTGGTCTCAAAACCAGCATTTACAAAATAAATTCTCCCGCTGCTCACTGTGCCTGAGCAGTTTGAAATAATTTGTATCCAAACCACAACGTTTAAAAACGCGTTTAAATGATAAACTTACATCATGATGGCGCAGCAAAATTTAAATATTTCTACTGGATATATTATCGCCAGTCCTTTAGGCGAATATAGAGTTTAATCAAACACAAAAAGCAAAATTATACATCCATCAAGTTAATATTCAAACTTACCGAAAGTTTGTGGGGTCGATGGTGATGCTATGTTTTAAGAATAGACTAGATTAGAATGAAGAGAAGAGTAAAGGCGATTTATTGGTTG